CGCTTCACTGGCCCAAGTTGGCACCACCATTGCACTCTTCCCGGGCGAGGCAGTTGAGTCGCCGGCTTCTGGACGAACGCTCACTGCGGCTGCTGGCCGCTCACACTGGCTGCTGGCTACATACGGTAGCTCATGGCAACCCACTGCCAAGGGGCTGCAGCCTACGCCGTCGCCAGCGACTCATGGCAGCCCAGCTCCAGGTTGAGCTGTTGTTCAGCACCTCAGTTGTGGAGGGCAGTGTCACTGGCCCCCATATGTGGGATCCGAACCAGGGTCCTCCGGCGTCCCAAGCCAGTTCTTAACCATTGCGCCACTCTGCCAGCCCCTAACTTAGCTTCTTAAAAAGAACTTGACCTTTTTTGATAGGCTGAATTCTTGATTTTTTAACACCTTCTAGCATTTTTACATCGTGCGCATTTTGTTTATGCGTTCCTTCCAGTAAAAAAATTCTTTGATGTAATCAAAGTAGTTATATGAAAATATCTGAATTATATGAAAATAAATTTCTTCTTATTGAATAATTGACAACAAAAGCATCTTGGTGTTCACTTCCTTTTTTGCCTAAGGAAAAGTTGCTTAACCTCATTTGTCTCATTTCTTAAATATCTCAGGATTTTCATCATGTGTCTTAAATCTTTGTCTCATTTCTTAACCAATGAAAGTACATAGCCAAGAATGGAATGTTATAGATCTCAAAAACTGGATCATGGATAAGTAAAAAGAATAACTATACAGGCATACCTCATTTTATTACACTTTGCTCTATTGCACTTCAGAGATGTTGCGTTTTTTAAAAATTGAAGGCAGGCCTTCTAGCAACCATTACTACTTGCTTTATTGTGATACTTGCTTTTTTGCGGTGGTCTGCAACCAAACCCGCAGTATCTCCCAGGTATGCCTGTGTGTCCTTATTACATGTAAATACAAAATATATACTGACTGCTAATAGCAAGAGAATCAATTTTTGTTTTCCCAATATTCTGTATTGAAAGTATTACTAAATCAGAATGGATACAATAAGAAAAATTCTATTTCCTAGAATATAAACTGAATCTCATAATTTGGAGATGCTAGAGACTGAGAATTTACTATTTTTATTCATATAACATTCTTTTGATGTGTTGTGAACTATTTTTTTCCCCAAAAGAGCGGAAAACCCAAATGAAAAGTTATTAAACACATTTTTTAGCTAGGGACAAAAGCTTGAGAGATGACCATAATTTGTTTTTCCTTAATTTTTTTTGAAGGCACGAAGTATAAATGTGAAGGCACAAGCTCTTTCTGAATACAGAGATCAATTTAGTTTGGAGATTACAGGGCCTATCATGCCTCATTGTCTACATTCTATGACCATGCTACTCAGATCTTCACAGAAAGGGTCCTTTTCTGCAGGGCTGTATACCCATGAGCCAACTGTTATATTTAATATCTGCCCACCAATGGATAAAGTACTGGATAAGGTAAGTAGACCGCTATAAACACTTAGTTATAGCTAATTTCCTCAAACTAGATGGAGTGAATTATGAGCCAAACTTGTTTCAAGTTATTAAACTGTACTTTTTCCAACTCTAATTACTAAGAGGAAGGGATGTCTGTTATGTGTATTTTGGGAGGTAAATTTTATGCATTTAGGCTGTTGTACTCAGGAGTGACTAAAGAACTTGCCAAAAAGAAAGGCAGGTTATTTTCCTTGTCTTCTCAGATCCAAAACTTAATAGTGCCAGATTCCCATTATAAATTATGGGTACTTTTTTAACCAGAATTGTCTTTTAACTTTGGACATATTTAGGTTTTTATTAAGACTTAAATTTGCCTCATACTTGTATCACTTTGCTAGTCTTATAAAAATAACCACCATCTATTTTTGGACAATCATTATGCAAAAACTCTTTGGGTCAATGTTTATTGATGATGCACAGCAAGAAGACATTTGTTAGTGTTCCCATGGTAATTAAAAACTTTTGAGTGTTCAGATTGATGTGTTTTTTACTGACTTGTATACAAATTCCCACAGGAGACGGTTCATGAGGAGCTTGCTAATTGTGGGTTGCACCCTAAGACTCTGGACCAACTCAGTCAAACACCAATACTGGGAAAATCATCTTTACGGAATGTGGAAATGAGTGACTACATTTATAATTGGAGATCCTGAACACCAAAGTAAGCCTAAAAGGAATCTTTGAGGAAAAAAGCCTTCTAGCAAAGAAATTCAAGATGCTTATACCTTTGGCTTTAAAATTCATTTTGGAAGTTAAAGTAGAGCTTTAATATTCAAATGTTTATAAACATTTTTTTACATTGTTTATTAATTACATGCACTAAGGAGGTTTTAAATCAACATTTGTTTTTACTATTTTGATGAGATATTCAAATATGAAAACTCAGACTTTTTAAACCTCAAGTAACTTAATGAGAATTCCAGATCCTTAAAACCTAATTATAAACTGAATAGAAAATTGAATCAATGTCAGTGTTTTCCTTGCAAATGGGAAATTGAAGCTAACTTACTATCAATTAACTCATGGCAGTGTGACCAAAAGCATCAGGGCAAAACTATTTAATTATCTAGGATTATTGGCAGGTTCTATAGTTTATAAAGGTAGAAAACATGTAGGTAGACAGTATCTGCTGAGCTAATTGTTGATGCTTTTACATTAGTTGCATTGCTAATGATTTAAAATTCCTCTACTCAAATATTTTAAAGCATGTTCACTCAGGTAAGGGTTTTTGTATTTCATATAGCGTTAAATGTTGTGAAGTATGCTCAGCTATCAGAGCAAAGTAGTATTTAATGTGCTTTTAGGTAGTGTGTGTATAATTCAAATTTTCTTGAATAGAAGTGCTTGGACATTAAAAGCATCAGGGCAAAGAAATAATAGTATTTAGTGGAAAAGTATATGTGTTCACTTTATAATCAACAAAACAAAACACGACATTTATTCCAGAGAAGTTTATATTTGGGCCTTAAGCTTTTGAAAATAAAGTTGAGACATAGCATATGAATACCACTGTAATACACATGAAATATTCTATCAGACCCTAAAAATTAACATAAACTTAAACTTTCTCATAGTCAACAAAAAATAGTGGCCGGGTGCCGATTTTATTAGATAAGTTGGTTACAGCGTTTTAATTATCATTTTACGTCTATCTAGGTGTAGCTGAAATTCAAAATGCACATCAAAGTAAAACTATATCACAACTCAATGCCATACTAAATGTACTTGGCCTCTGCAGAATTCTAGTTGGACTTCATTTTGACTCCCTTCTCATGGCCCAAGTGGCTTTGACGGGAATTCAGGCCTTAGTGCTGATCATCACACATACCACTCTTTTTATAACTAATACAAAATTTTTTAAGGGGAGATGGTGGCATTAGCCCTGTGGAACAGATCTTGCTTGATTACCTCAATAACACTGGCCCAGTATCTGTCCAGCAGAACCCATTGTGAACTAGTACAAGGTGCACAGCCCTTCACTGATTACAGGCAAGTGTTACAGCAGCCTAGCCATAAGGAAGGGGAGTTACATCATAGTACAAAATACAGTATAAAAGCGTTATTTAACATTCCACACTGAAGATTACGGATGCCTTCAAACAATCGTTTGGATGTTAGCCACTTAAACAAATACATCACTAAGGTAAACAATATAAACATACCAAAACCCTGTATGGTTAAATACAATTTCCATGGTACAAAAATCAAAGCCTGGAGATGTTTATACAGATTGCTTTTTACACAATGTCTTAAATTGCCAAATATTTACAACATTAAAGAGGAAATACATTTTGATGCAGAGTAAAATTATCTGAAATGATTATAAAACCTCAATCTATCTACGTGAGGCACTCCTGAAGCAAGTGGCATTAGCCATGAGGTCCTTTGGTACAAGGCCCATTGCTTGAAGAACCACAGTAGCTGCTGTGGCTTTAGCATGCTTCTTATTAGGGCTGGCAAAGCTGGGCTGGTAAGCGCTTCCATTTATCAATACCTATTCAAGAAAAACATACAATTGGGCTGGTAAGGGCTTCCATTTCTCAATACCTATTCAAGAAAAACATACAATAAGAACAGCATCAAACTTTAATATCTATTAGTTTTGTATTTTTTTCACTAAATGCTAGAAAAATAATTTACAAAACTATAAAACCCCTATGGTGTATGTCAAATTAATCTCAACCCAGAAGAAGCAAATCATTTGGGAAAAGGGACTGCAAATTAAGAGCAGGTCTCTAAATTGAAAAAAGCCTGATAAAACTACTAAATTCATTCCCCATGTTCAACTAGAAAATGTCAACAAATTTGTTCACCAGATTTTGCCCACATATTTCCCTCCATTTTTTAAAAATAGGGTATTAAAAAGTCATATTAAAGCATGTGTAAATGTTTAAAAAAAAATCTACCCACACATATACACACTCCCAACCCACAAACATTATGGCAATTCTATGACCATATATTCATCCCTCACCCTCTAACATTATCAAGTTAATAAATATACAATTAATGCAGAAATTCATATTTACCCTAAAGAGAAAATGTTTGCGATGATCAGGGCCACTATCATGGACCAAGAGAAATTCAGGTGGTTGCCACCTTCTCTTATTACAGATTTCCATCAAGGCAGACACAGGATGTTTGCCTAAAGAGGAAAAAATAAACCAGTTATTTCCACCATCTGTGGCAACAAATTATGAATTCATGGTGGGGGTGGGCAAGAAGAAATTCAAGTGTACCCTCACCTGACAGATCTTTCATTGCAGCAGAGAAGTTCCCAGACCGCTTTTGTGCTCTTTCTCCTACAGCAACAAGACCTTTAAAAAAGAGTCAATGTTCACTGAATAAATTTAAAAGATTGTTTTAAATTATAGCATAGCAAAACAATTCCCTCTGTAGAAACAAGCCATGCCTTCAAATAAAATACTCAACAGATTCCCACTATCCTTGATTTCTACATCATCTTGACTTCTGTTTTGCTGTTTCAACATAGTACATATTTACACTTTATATTCAGATAGCCTGGTATTGGAAGTTGTATAAATGAAGTGTTCAGAAAACAAGAATTTAATGAGTATATACAGAAATATAAATCAAGTGTCATAATTATCAACAACTCTAGGTCTGTTCTATTTATTGCAAATGGTTTCTGAAGATTTCCCATTTGTTAAATGCTCAGTTAAGAAGTATTCCTCAAAAGGTGAGGATTTTAGGCCCCTCCTACACGCGGAAGTAAAAAGTGAGCAAGGCTGTCTCTATGGATAAATGGGTCCAATTTTTTACCCCAGGAATGAAGCCCTTTCTGACTTATCAAATGTGAGATGTTCTCAAAAGACAAACATGCCATCAGTCCATAACCTCCCTTTCCAAAGTGGTTTAGCTGTGTTACTATCCAAAATCAATGCTTTCCCAATTTCCATTTATCCTACGGAGAATTCCTTAACCAGGTGTTTGCTAATTCTGCCAGTATGCTTTCCCAAACCCAGGCGATACTGCAATTCCAAAGAGAATGTTCCCTGGAATTATGAACCTACAGATGTTTTCATCCAATAAACTACCTTTTATGACACAAAGAACTCTGGTCAACTTGTACAAGCAATAAAATGACAGTGACATAATTAACACAATGTCCTTTTCTAATGTAAACTTTCAATCAATGCTATATTATAGGATGATTCTCATTTTATTTCAAGCCTATTTGAGTCTATCATTATAATACATTCCCTCCAATTTGAAAAAAAAAAGGCAACATCCATCTACATGATGACAATGTAGAAATTCTGATGTAAAACATTTTTAAAAATACATAATTTGGTGAGAGCTAGTCAGTTTCCAAAGCTATTAAAGACAGAATAATTTAATTGCATTAACTTCAACTTAACTTTCTATTTGATTACAAAGATAAGGAAAATAAATTCCAGCTTTAAATTTTCTAGTTTTTAAAATTCAGGCTTACACAAGCTATTGAAATCACAATGAGCTGGCATCCCCATGTGATACTTAGGACATTATTCTAAGGGAAGAAATTATTTAAAAGTTACAAATTAGCTGTTATCTATGTTATCTAAGTGTACTTTTAATACTTAGTGACTACATGCCGGCTAGATCCCCAGGTATCTGAGGACAGTAGCAAAATACAGGTAGATATAAAAGTCCCAACGTGCTAACACAGGGCAATGTGAAGAGGTAACACTGTTGTCAGCAGGTGATTTACTACTTCCTAACCCAACAGAACTCAATTACTGAGTTTGAAAAGATGATGTACAAAAAGGGTTTATAAGGTGAAGACAAAATAGCACCCGAATAGGGAATATGTGGGATAAAGTAACTAAGAAAGAAAAAAAATCAAATCCCTGAAGAACAAAAATGTATTCCTTGTCAAAATAAAATGGAAATTCCACTTTCTAAAGATGAAATCTAGTTAAAATTTAGTCATGCAGATATATATGTGTACTTCCATAATATTTAGCAATTAACATAACAGGTTGCTTTTGCAAAGCTCAAATTAGTATTTCCATCTATACTTCTATGAGCTGCTGAAAACGGGTTGAACTTTTTTTCCTAACAAATAGCTGTACATATATACCAGAAGTGCCTCCAGTTCAGGATCACTGACACCAAAAGAATGTATGACGGTAATGAAACCCTAAATGTTAAACAAGATATAATAAACATTCCCAAAAAAACTTGTTACCTTTTCGGTCTGTTTTAAAATCAACTAGGATAGGTTCCTTATTTCCTTCTTTGTTTTTTCCTAATCCTTCTCCTTCTCTCCAGCCCATTTTTCTCATCAAAACGGCTCCCATTCCTCCAGTTACTGGGGCTGCTCTTAAGAACTGATCCTACCCAAAGAAAAAAAGGTAAAATGTCCCCATTTTACAGTTAGAATTTGACTGCAAATCAGTATCCTTAAAAAAAGAAATCTTATTTTACTTCTAAATCTGTTATAGCAATTAAGTTTAAATGCTTCTTTACTTATATACATACTGTAATGTGTATGTTCTAATTGTTTTTCACATTAACATAATAGTATTTTCAAAGTCAAATAAGGCAAATAAATAGCAGTTTTAAAACATTGGCCCTCATCCCCCCTCCAAAAAAAAAAAAATTAGAACACTCCTGTTTTCGTCCACTATTTAGGTTCACTGGTATCTCTTCTTAGCTTGCAAAATAAAAAGAAGGCAATGTTAAAACAGTCAATAATATTAATTGTCCCAGGTGTACCTAGTTAATGAATAAAGCCCAGAAATCGTTTAGAAATAGTATGGACACTGAAAAAGCATACTGTTAACATCCAAAGTTTTCCTCCCCATTCTACCATAAAGCAAGTATAAATATTTTACTTAGAAAATCCCTATGAAGCAAAATAACTCTTTAAAATAAATTTACCAGTAAGAAATGGAAGACAATCACATAAAATACCCTGTAATTATACCAAACTGAATTTGAATTCTTTTAAAACCTAGCTGATGTTAAAAGACTTAAAAAACTCCTTAAACGTTTACATACCTAGGCCTCGGTAGCAGCAGTGTTGTGAATAGTAGGGCTGGCACTGACCGGGGCAAGAAGGCAGCTACAAGGATTTGGCCCTGAAACAAGTTTCCATACAGAGGGGTGAAAGTTCACAGGTTATTCTGTGAACAGTCATCTCTCTTGTATCCAACCCACTGAACCATAATTTCCATCAAAGCAGCAAAGCACTTAATGTCGTAAGATGCACAACTGTATACATTAGCATGGTCAACAGTCAATTATTTCCACACGTTAAATAATGATGCCTTTTTTTAAAGGGCATCCATGTACATGTTAAAAAACTACTGAATTCTGTTGATCTTTATGGCCATTTAAAAAAAATTTATGACATAAATCTCCAAATGATTATTTCCCCTTGTTATTAAATTTTAGATTTACATTCTCTAGCAAATATATAGCAGAAGTCATTAACTTATCAACAAAGGGGGTAAAAAATTTTGGTAAATCTGGAAATAGTATGCACTAATCATTTTCCTGTATTGATAAGTTAATACTAAATTTTTTAAATCTTGTTTTTACAGAGTAAAACTGTATATTATTATTTTCCCCCAGCTTTTTAATTATATGCTAGGGAGAAAACATGCCAATGGTTTGTGTGACTAGACATTAAGTTCAAGAAGGCGCTCTGATGGAAGGAGGCAGCTGTGGAGGTAAAAACATACCCCTGGTTCAGTTCCTTATTTGGTGCAGGCCATGCAGTGTTGATGTATAAAGAGAAAAAGTTAGCTGATGCTTGGGTATCAACTGCCTTGTTGCTACACACCTAGAATGACTTTTACTTACTTCCAGGTTCATCCGCCCCTCTTTTCCAGGAAACACTCCTAAAAAAAAGGGCAACTGTGCAGAGTGTAATACAAATCCCCAAATAACCCAGGTTTCCAATTGTTTCCATTCTCTAAAATCTTCCATCTGTTTCTTTACCCCAGTGTGTATACACTTCACCAAAAAGATGATTAATCTGAGACTACAATAGTAAACCATATTCATCAGGTCATGTCCAAATCATTCCATTCCAAAAAATAACGGTTTTTTTCAATCGACCATTTTAAAATGTTTTAGTGACAAAAAAATAATAAAACTCTCCTTTTTCATCTAAGAATATACTGCAACAAACTTAAAGAATAAGGAGAATGCTGGTATTCCGTGTGGTTTTTAACATATAAAGAGAGGGCGTTAGGCTATATATATATATATATATATATATATAGCAAGACAAGAAAAAGCCAAATGATCATTTGAAAAATTTTCTAAGCACAAGTAGATAGTTTTGTGATATTTGACAGTGAAGATAAATGTTAAATTTTCCTAATAACTTTTCCACATGTCCTAGCTCATTTTTATAAAACATTCCTTTTTTAATATTGGTAGCAAATACTCTTTAGTAACATACAAATGTAAGTTTTCCTAAAAGCACTTCTTTCTTCAGTAATTACTTTAAAATTTGGTCAGATGAACACATCTATCTCATGATAATTTATCAAAATGATTTACATTATTTACATTTAAAATGATGTAAATTATTTATTTAAAAATCTGTAAACTACCTACAAGACTGGAAATAAAAATTTAAGGGAAAGTTTACAGAGAACCAACTGAGTCTGTAAAAGATTCACTTTTTAAAAGTTAACATGAATTTTAGAAGTATATTTAGAAGCATTATGAATCAGTAAAGACCAAAATTTTACAGTGGAATCACACTGAAAAGTTTCTACTTAGTAATGTACATGACTGTTTATTATGTGCCTAAACATCAATATAAGCTTCAAGTCTTAACTTCTAAAATACTGAGTACTCAGCTTCAATATTTAATATATTAAATATATAGAATTTATAAATTCTTCAATAAATAGTATTAAAGAATTTAAACTTAAAGAAATAGATGTACATTTATAATTCTCAGTGAGATGAAAGCCATTTTTCAACTACTATACAAATCACTTTCATACTTAAAATACTGTAATATAATTAGTCCTGAATTAATTCAAACTTAGTATTTCGCTGGATTCTCATCTTTTTGCCAACACCAACCCCTAGTAAACTACATAAGTTATAATTTTTTAATGAATCTGTGTACTCACTATACACATATTAGAGTGCAACTATTTCCCCCAAAAAATGGCAGGCAAAGTGAGAATATATAATGTTTCATATTAATCTGTTAATAAGAGGATCACCAGAGATACTGCTATCAAAAGTGAAATAAATGTTATAAGATTAAAAGGTCCAAAGCAACCAAAATTTCATCTTTCAGAAATTCAGCCCATCCAATGGCACTCATGGCAATTCTCTACAGGTGCCCATCACATTACCACCCTGAGAGGCATGAACGAGGACTTGTCTTCAACATGATACTTGGAGACTGAAATTCCAAGTAATTACTTGCCCACGATCACAAAAGGAGTCAGGAGTACAGCAGATAAAGAAACCTTCCCAATCCATTAGACCACGGAGCCTCCCAGTTTCAGCACTGCTATGCTGCCAGTACTCCTGAAACAAATTTCCAATCACCCATCCAACCAGGCCACATCCCTTCACCAGAATGCATTTCTTCAGAAAGCCCTTCTTAACCACCTAAGACTCCCCCAACAATGAGGCAGCCGTAGATGGAGTTCACAGGTCTCATTGCAGGACTCTGAAACCAGGAGCACCTATATCTTCGCAGCACGAGGCGTCCATCCTCTCCCTTGAATTTAGTTCTCATATATCCTGTTTTTTCATGAGATCAGTGGTTCTCAAATTGAGCCTGTGGATCACCAAAGGCCACCAGGGCCTAAATGGTGGTCCACAGATAGTATTCTCCATCCCCATCCCACCCTTCAACACTGCGCACCCCACGCTCCGGCCGTCCTCCCCCAGCCTTCCAGTCCCAAGGCAAAATCACCACATGCAGTGCTAATACTGGGGCCTCCCAACCATTTGCTGTCACCAACAGCTGCCAACCACAAGGACCTGGGACTGAAGATCACAAGAGGGGTGAGGAACAGGGGCCAAGGAGGCTTACAGGAGGGCGCAGGCACTAAGGAAAGGGAAAGAAGGGCAGAGGAACAGCAGTGGCAAATTAGGGCGGTAGAGGGCTCTTGGGGGCAGTGATCCACCAAACCTAACCTGAAACAAAGTATCCCATGATGAGAAAAATTTGAGAACCACTGCTTTGAAGTCATGACATTAGTCAAACAGGAACTGTGGAATATTCTGAACAACACCTGAGATACATTGTTAGCATTCAAAACACAGTTAAAAAAAACCACCCCCCAACAAACCAGTAGCAGCAATAATAGTTAACCTCAGAATATAAACTGAGTGGCTCTTGAGCCATATTTATACACTAGCAATTGTCTCATGAATCCGGTCCATCTTCAGTGTCCATCCTGGAGTATATATACACATAGCAAATTTACTCATGAACTTGGGTTAGAGTCAATGGCCTCTTCGTGCATTTTTAATAAAACACTTTCTAAAAAATTTTAACTTTCAACTTGCACATTTTTCTATGTGCATTATGTTGTGTACCTTTTTAATCCATGCTTGGGCACCAGTATTGGCCAACTGTTCTTGTGTCAGAACCTGTACTCCCGTACTTCCTGTGAACTGGCCAGGAATAGAGTTCAGCTGAGCCCAGGCATCAATCTGCAGACAAGAAGATACATCAATTAACTAAGTAAAATTACTTACCTAGTTAAAATGCCCTCGCTATTAACAATTTAATTCACTAAAAATGGTTTATTTAGTTCCTGAAAAGGCTAAAAAACAGGCTTAAATATCCACTTTTTAAGACCACATAGTGTATTTATACATATTTAACATTGTTTTCCTAAACATTCCAAAAAAGCAGTTTGATAGCATTCAGTGAATCCTAATATTAATATGATTTGAGCTATTATCTCTAACAACTAAAAAGCATAGTGATCATAGTCATTCTTCAAAACATCACACAGATAGAGTTCATATGGCAAAGGATACATGCTCTCCTGCCTACGTATCTCATATAAATGCATTCTAATGTCATGACAGCCTGAGTTTTTAATCACTTCCTTTGAAGTAGTATTACAAATCCAGAATAAATTCAATATATATGCTTAAATAGTAATAAATACAGGAAATTGTTCATTCAAATATACCAGAGGTGCCCAAAAAATGCATACACATCTTAAGAAAAAACTATTAAAACTGTAATACTCAATATATACAGACGACAAAAGATGAATACAAGTCATGTGTATACATTTTTATGGCACCCTCTGTAAAAAATGGCTTTCTTTAAAAATTGTGTGCTACATTAATAACCAACATTTATTGTGACAGTCAAAGAATCAGTTGTCATTCATTCAAAGTATATTTACTGAACACCTGCTATTGTCAGGCAATACATTCGGTTGTCGGAAAAGTCATGACGTATTTTTCTGTTTTTCATTGCAAAAATGCGTCATGACTTTTCCGACAACCCAGTATTTCCAATCCATCTAAACATGTGTGTACTCAGTTTCTACATGGATCTACCAGAGAAAGGTGGTGCAGAAATGGAGAAGCTGCCCATTGTTAAAAGCATAGACTCTGACTCAGACTGACAGTCTGAATCTTAGCTCCCCAACTTACTAGTTTTGTGACGTTGGGCATCACTTAACCACTCTTTACCTCAGTTTCCTCAGCTGGAAATCAGGGACTCATAATACTACCTATATCTCACAGGGCTGTTATGGGCAATTAGCTATTTTTATATACCAGATTATAAATATAAACTCTATGCTAGCAGGAAATTTTTTCTATTTTATTCTCTCAAGAAACAGCTCCTCTCACATAGTACACAATAAACATTTACTGAATGACCAGATCCCAATCGTTCATTTAAAATAAGCTAGCTAATTAACATAAATGATTTATTTCCTTGGATTTTCAAGATAAGGACCTACATTTCAACAGCATGCCATAGATTTTGCTTATGTCACGACAATCTAGTGAGTGAAATTCTCATTTACACATTAAAATTGCTACATACCCGTTCCTGAGCTCGATTTAACATGCTCATGGCTTCAAGGTCAAATGCATTCTCACTGAGTCTTTTCTGAGCAAGTGCCCGCTCACTCATTGCTGTCGAGATGTCCACAGGCTAAGAAAGAAAACATAGATAATTATCTCAAATTACGACAGACGCCCTAAATTCTGAAAAGTGCTCAGAACTTTAGTTCCTACATGTGAAAAACAAAATAGTCTTATATGTATTAATAATCATGTAAAGTAGGTAGAAGACGCAAAAAGGTAAAGAAACTTTGGAAAGTAGACGAGGACTATTAAGGTAAGTTACAAAGTATTACAGGCAGCTGTTGAATTCAATCCAAAAAGTGACTGATTCCATATTTTCTGTATCAAATTACAATCATAGAAAGTTCTATGAAGAACTTAAAATTATCTCTAGCTTTCACGAAGAATTTCTTCAACTATTTTTAAACTATTAATTTTATACTCACTAGCAGTTTTTATTTTACCCTACTCATCAGCATATCCTTCAGAAACAATACGGTTCTTGAATAGCAAGCAGAAAACCACTATCGCATCAATGGTCTCTCCTATACTCATCTGCAGACCTTTTAACTTTCTTGCAGTTTTTCATATAGTTTGGTCTTAAGAACTCAATTTCTTCAAAGGATATATTCATTATGTAAATGAACTTTTTGTTTTCAGTTTATATACATTTATGACCAAAGTTAAAATATTTCTGTGGGATTAACACACTTAAAATAAGGTATGTTTTAAACGCCTTAGGTTCTTCTTTTCTAAGCTCATATTCTACCTTATGCTAAGGTAAAAACTTTATGCGAAGCAGAGGTGACTTTATGATTTAACTTTTAAAAATGTTTCATAATGTCCAGGAAAATTCTTAAAGTTAACCTTTAAAGCAAATCCCACTTTGTCAAGATTTGTGGAAGGCTCAACCACGGAAGGAAAAAACTCATCAAGTGAGTATCGGATGTTTTTTGTTCTAACTAAGCGCTCAGGTTGATCTGTACCAACTCACCAATTCTTAATACTTGTTTTCTTTCAATACAACATAACCAATTAATACATATTTTCGAGTTATTTCACCCAAGAGAATTCATTTCTGGAAAATATTCATCTGACATGGGAAGGTTTCCCCATATTCATATGTAAAGAATGATTATTAAGTACTGCAAGGGTATAACAAATATAAGGAAGTCATTAAAATGAGTTAACAGCTAAGGATTTATTTTAAAAACTAAGTAAAGGCTACCTGTAATTTGACTATGTATTGCATATAAAATATTTTTCAAAACAAGACCTATATAGCAGAGAAAGGTATATGGCTGAGAATAATTCTGTCATGCATAAGGATTACTAACCTTCCTTCTCCTAACTTCAGAAGCCCTTAATCATTCCATCATTCCTAGTTATATTAGTAAATCACCTAATATTACTTTAGCAAAATTAAATTTTTTCGTACAAAGTACTACAGAGTATAACTTCTTACATATGCCTTCTTAAAATGAAAGCAAAATTAAACTGAATTCATTCTGTAATTGTTTATTAATTTACAGATTTCATGAGTGCTTGATTTCTTAGTCAATTTAGTAAATTATCCAAACTAATTAGAATATTTCTGGGACCTATAAGAAATTGCCTAAGCAAAATCAGATTTAAACAGTAAACACTAAAAACTTAGTATGTTCGCTCACCTTTCACTTCTATTGTAATTCTGACCGCTGGGACTTCCTGGTCAGAATTTGCGTTCCTTTGGCCTATCTTGGATATTTCCTAAAACTCTAAGGATTACTGATGTTAATTTTGAAAGGCCCACCAAATACATCTCAAATACTGTTCATTAACCTTGCCAATTACTTTGGGTTCCACAGCAGTCTATAAATCTAAGTGTTAGGGTGTTTAGGTGTAAGTAATGGATTTTTATTCTAAAGTCTAAACTCAGAGGAGATGATGGGAAAAATGTATCTACCAATCATTCCCAAGCCCTGATCCCCAATGTCCAAATATAAATTAGCCATAAAAACGTAGTTAAGATGGCTCTGGAAACTCCAATTTTTCCAAAATAAAAAAATGCTTCCCAAATGGAAAGCAAATAAATATACCTATCTGTGAATTCATCCTTCTGAGGACATTTTATATCTTCATACTTTTTTCTCTTTAAGCCTTTATTGCAGAGGCAGGTAATCTAATGCTTCATCATTTTATCCCCAGGATGAAACTTCTTTCAAATCTCAGTAATATTCTGTTAAATTCACATCTCTGAAAATTATTTTAATATAGCAACCTTCATGCTTAATATAAATTTACTTTAGACAAAATTACTAGTTTTCTTCTTAAGGTAATACAACTTTATTTATTCTTCAACAAGCTTACCAAGTGAGCTGCAAGTTTATGTCAAAACTTTATTACCAAATAATACTTTGGACTAATTTCATGTGTTCCTTTTTATTAAGAAATATACTCAAAATAGTATGAATCAGAATTATCTTAACCTCTTAAGGATCCTCAAGAGTTGCATTAAAAAGCATTATTTCTAGGATTTCAAAGTAATTCAGGATATACAATGCATAAAAAGCCATCTATAATCCCCAAAGCATTAATATACAAGGACTAGTCCAAATGTATGCATCAGTATTGAAACACTCATAAAATATCACAGCTACTCTTTATAGCAACACTGTCCAATAGACTATTCTAGAAATAGCTAATGAGCACGTGAAATGTGGCTAGTGCAATTAACTGATTTTTCAGTGGCTAGTGACTACTATATTGGACCACATATACTATACTATATAATGGAGCATTAGAGCCTTAAACATCTTTTAATGTTGCTCAGAAACAGGAACGTGTGAAAGGTACCAAGATGATGCTAAAATAATCCCTTCTAAAAACTAGAAAAAAAATCTTAAATCCCACAGAATACTATTATCAAGTTGTCATCAACAAGCCGTTTCCACTGATACACTAGACTTTCTACCTAATACATAAAGTATAACTATGATTGTGTAATAATATTCCAGGTATTACAATGTGGGGAAATGCTTCCCTAAAAATTGTTCTAAAAGGTGAAATCTACATAAAACAGTGTCCTGAATACTTCTCACTTTAACAAAAACCTGTCCAAGTTATTTATCTTTCTACTTCATCAACACAGCAGATTACTAATTCTACAACCTAAAAAGGTGTCAGGAATAATAAAATATATAATGTAAATAGCACCATGTAACATGCATTTCAGGGCCTTAGCTGTAATTGTGTACCTTTTTTGTATCTTCCTCATTTAAAAAAAAAACTCCTTCTAAATCAATTTACCCTCTTTTGTTAACCCAACTGTTTACATAGTAAAAGTAACTTCAGTATTTCTTAAAAAGACAATGAAGGGTTATAAAAGAGCTAAAGAGAATTATAAGGGAGTTAATCGGATAATGAAAACAGCTCCTAACATAAAAATTATTTTCTACACAGGTAACTGCAGGTATCTTGAATTAAGACAGTATAAAAGAATGATTTTAATTATAATGGAAATAAAAAGCATCTGACCTATATGTAAAACATTCTTTTTAAATATTTAGCAAAAATTAATGACATACAAAGGTTCATATAGAAATGAAAATGACAGCTTCAAAAACAAAAGCCACACTAAATATAGACTGCCTCAGTTGTTAATGTTTTCATTAATTTTAAAGAATGAATTGTGCATCTTTTTGTATATAAAATAATCTAGTGCAACTATTAGTTAACTTATACACTTAATCTAAATGAAATATAACAGAAAAACAAATACATAACCTATTAAATGGTTTAAGGAAATTCGGTGTTAATCACCTAGGCCAGCGGTTCTTAACCTGTGGGTCACGACCCCTTTGGAGGTCGAAGACCCTTTCACAGGGGTCGCCTAAGACCATTGGAAAACAAAAAGATACATTACGATTCATAACAGTAGCAAAATTACACTTATAGAGTAGCAACGAAAATAATTTTATGGTTGGGGGTCAACTGTATTAAGGGGTCGCAGCATTAGGAAGGTTGAGAACCGCTGACCTAGGCGAATCTAAGGCAAGAATGAAGAATAAGGCTGTACTTATATTCTAGCACTGCTAGGACTTATGTATTTAATTTCCAATTGAAATTTTCATCTTGACCCAAGAACTTAGCTTTCCAAAACTTTATGAATTTAGAATTTCTAAACTTTAAGATTTTTAGCTCCATTGGGATGTGGAAATATTCTTCAGTAATAAAAACCAAGCACACAGCCTGAGACAAAAATTATCTTCACATGTAAGCATGAGAACTTCATGGAGAGCCACTTCTGGATCTCTAAAACCCAAGCAAGTTTTATGTCAAAGATTACATTTAAATCTACCCACTAAGCCTTTGCTAACATTTATTACTAAGAATTAATGCCCCAAGGACCTTTTTTTCTTTTATAGTTTTCCAACACTTATTTCATTGCTTATAAATCAAATTCACACAAATACGGTCAAAATTCTGTAGTCACTCCTAATGATGCTGGCTTACTACTTACTATGCTATGGCAGCTGGGCACACAATCTGATGAGTAGATATTCTGTAAAATGGATTTATGTTGATCCACCCACTCATACTTAATGTCAAAGAGCACTCATGTGGCAAGACAATTGTTGGGATCCAATCTGTGACCTTTACCTAAATGTTTTACACTCAAAACTAACTGCAAAATCCATTTGTATTTATTAAAATGAAAATACTATTCAGTTAAAATATTGACTTTAAAAGAACCGTTAAAAGAACTTTCCTTTACTCTATAAAGGCTTTAATTTCAACCCCTGACGGAAAAGGGTCAATGCTCTCATAAAATGTCACCAGTATTCCACAAACATTGGTATGTAGAACATTATTAATCTTACAAATACAAGGTACAGCTAAATAACTAGAACTGAACATTTTATAATGTGAACATTTCCTCTAGGTGTTTAATATTGCTACATACAAGTACAGAGACCTGAGGCCAAAACAAAATCCTGTCCCTTTTCCTCCTAAAATTTTGGGATTGTTTTAAAGTTAAAATATATATTGTTTGAGTCTAATCTTCTAAGAAACTAGCTCAGAGTTCTGACATCAAATACTGTATATGTATATATCTTCCTATAGGAGGAATCTGCTTCATTTATTTAGCCCTCTGAACACTTTTTTTCCTCCTGCTTTAATAAAACACTCCCTTTACTTATTATAAATTTGAATACCCACCTTTTTACCCTGGGATTTCTTTGGAATAACTCCTCCCAACTTTTAATTAAAATTTGACAACCACTTTTGATGACAAACAAGGCTAAGACAGCCCCATCAGTGTTAAGACTAAAATTGGCCAAATAGTGAATTTCAAATAAATATTACATATAAATTCTCAGTCAAAAAAGAAAGTCATCAGGATTCACTAGACACTTGCCCTGTGTTAAACTACAGTTAAAAGTTATGGTCACTTATCTTCTCGGAAAAACCCCTTTGAATTCTGCAATTTTATAGGGCTTCATTCTGTTGGAAAACTTTTTTCACATAACCTATGTTTTTCTCCAACTCTGTTAAAATGCTTAATTTGCAAGAAAATACTAGAAGCATATGTATCAGAATTTCTAAGTAAGTCTTTTCAGCCCTTATCAATGGTTTATATCACCTACAAGATTTAAGTCAGTTGCAACGATCAATTTACCCTTTCCCTGGTCAGATGTGCAGGTAGCTGGATTTAGGGATTAGCAACTGAGCTACTCAACTTGTTCCACTAAAACTGTGTCCCTCCCTTACCAGTGATGGTATAACTTGCTTCAATTGTTGAACCCTATGTAAACACAGATCATCACCAGTAACTGTAAATTGCATCGGCCACTTATCATGTCCAGCCAGCTTCGTTGTACAGAACTTGCTCTTTAAAATGCCGCAGGTCAAAAAAAAAAACAGTGAAAATGTCACCTGTGAATAGCTCAGGGGGAAAAAAAATACTATCAAAAAGTTTCTGATTTGGGTTCTGTTCACTTTGGTTTTATAAACAGGATTTGTTTATTTGTAATATTGGAGGTGTTTAGTGGAAGATGATGATATGACCAATAAAGGGAACCTGAACGTGAAGAGTACAGGTCTCTCTGACCTACATATCCCAGAAATGCAAGAAAAGGAAGTGGGGATAAGTCCCACATTGTAAGGGCACCAGTAATCTAATCCGGTCCTTGGACAAATGTCTGAGCTTTGGAAACCAAGGGCAAGAGGTGATGACTAAGTCTATGGTATTTAAAACTCCCACCACCCGCTACTAAAAGTCTCCACCCTCCCAGATCCCCCAAGCGTGATTTTGCACAACAAGTTAAATAAAAGTAAACTGTTTATTAAAAGATACAGCAAAGATACAGATACAGAGATACATACAAAGATACAGATATATATATATATATTTACATATATATACAGTCTTGCTGTTTTCATGTGCACTGTATTCAGCAGCACATTTGTTTAATCAGGCGGCATTTTACTGGGGTTGTTTTGACACTTGGCGTTATTACTGCGTCATTTTGACAAGATGCAACTATAGCCTCATGAAAATTTCAAGGTGTGTTCCACTTCTCCAACTTTTAATAGTAGCAAAGAGGGGAAGGAGAAGGGAAATGGAGAGAACACCAAGGCTGAGCATTAGGTTAAACACAAGAATTCAAAAGGGCCAAGGTAGCACAGGGAAGGGAAAATGGTTAAAATAAAGGCTATGTGACAAACAACCCAGAGAAATAGTAAGAAACCATTATTTAAGGGCAATGGGCTATGTATTCAAGATGCTCACATCAGCCTACAAAGACCTTTCCATTCCACTTCTTGTGTTGAACCTGACTAGCCTCTCTCTGCTCAATCCCTCCACCCAGTAAATTTGCTACCACCAAAATCTAGAGCTATAGAGCCTTGAAGCGAAACGGGAAGCTAAATAGTTGTACCTCGGGCTACTTTCCCACAAGTGCAAGGAGGGCCCAATGTTGGGTAGGGATGTGACAACACTGTTCTCTGCAATTCGATGCTTTTCACTTTGTGGCTTGGTTCCACAAAGTGAATTGCATCGAGTTACTGTCAAATGAGAAGCTGCGGGTTGTTTCATCAGTCGTTTAACCCGGCCCTGCCGTTTACCCCGGCCCTAAGAAGAGTGAAACAGAATCCAAATCAGATATAAAGTAACAATAAAACGGCAGATTCAGGTATAAAAAAAGAAAAATACATAATATTCCTCTTACTTACCTCAGAGGGTATACTGCTGCTGAAAACATTATCATCATCTTTGCTTTCTTCACCATTTTTCTCTACAGGAACCCACTCTCCATAAACACTATCCGCTTCTTTTTTTCGATGTTGAGATCCAGACGACACAGGAAATTCTTTTGTTAATGTTACCTGGCTTTTTGGTGGAGTTGGCTTTGCTGCAGCAATCTAGAAAATAATGTGTTTCTTAATTAAAACTCATTAGATATTCCAACAGTCTGAAAATGATTTTGTTCGTTATTTTTCACAGTATTTAATTCATAAATTAAAAACTAAATTCCATTTGAGTTTTATTTAAACAGTTCCATAAGTTATGCTGTTTCATCAAACCATAAATGCTAATACTTACATTCAGATTGAAAAAAATGGGTTTGGGTTCACTGAGTTTAAAGGGATGATGATAAAAAGGAGGTTCTTCTTCCTCTTCATCCGAAACATGAGGTTTATTCACTATTACATCATCATCTTCTTTACTCTGTGCGATCTGTTTGCATTTCTTAAAAAGTAAAAACAAAACATAAATCTTACACTTTAGATAAAACATGTAATTTCTTAAAATAGAACCACATAAAATCAACTTTCAAAACTGAAACGATTGACAGATTACAGATAAATAATTTGATTTAGTTATTATTTAAACACACTCTAGCTGGTCAGTCAGTCAACAACATTTATTGAGCACCTACTATGTGCAGAGCACTGTACTGGGCACTGTCCAGATAATACAAAAAAAAAAGACATGGTCCCTGCTCTCAAGGAGCTTACAATCTAGTTCAAGAGACAGAATACACACACATGAAATAATTGAGAAACGCTTTTACAGAGCAACACAAGTTAACAAGTGCAAACTGATATAATACAAACTGAATACATTAAGTGCTGAAAGAACAAAAGCTTAAGAGAACAGAATCAGGCAGAATTTGATAATCAAGGGATATTCCTTGAAGAGTTCTAAACCAGATTTTCATAGATAAGAACAAGGACTAGCAAGTAAAGGAGAAGTGATCTAGTCAGATGGTGGTAAAAAGGTGAGAAGAAACTTATTAGAAGGGACAAGAGAGTTGAAGATGAGGGCTAAAAACATACTGGGAAATACTATTTGGGTAAGGAATTTGGATTGGATAAGCAATAGAAAGAAGTCTTTACTATGTCATTTATTTTTAAAAAAGTTGTAATTCATATTGTAATAAATCTAAGTGATGAAACAGATTAAGAAACCGTGATCCCCAAAGGCATGGCAAAATAAAAGATTTGAAACGTTTGCAATTGGGTTAGATAGTAATGTCTCTCCATAAATGTCTTATAGGTTGTCTCTCTAAAGGAACAGAACTCAAGAATGGAAAACAAGACAGGATGGAGAGGTTGCAACTGATGAGGTCTGACACATAAAGCAAAATCAATTCCTTCCTGACAAGCAAAGGAACAGACTCCATTACCTGGCTTTATAAAAAGGTCAGAGTAAATTTGGGTGGACTTATCTCTATACATCAAGTAGAATTTGTCACATCCGTTATCAAGTGAAAAATATTACAATAGGATAAAAAGCTCATTTAGCCAAAAACACAGAGTATACTAAGCTTGTAACCAAGGGGAACAGAATATATTGACAGTGGCAGGCTGGCATAAGGCTAGCCAATAGCAAGTTTCAATATGTGAAACTGGTTTTCTGGATCCTAGCAGCAATAATTCAGCATTCTCCCCCCCCAACCCCCAAAAAAACCAAACAAAATAACATTAATAAAACAAAGCCCCAAAATAGCCTCAATTGAAAAGATTAAATTCTTAAAAACAAAAATAATTGTTTAAAATATATATGTTACTGCCAAAACCCGAACCGCAAGGAAGAACTGATAATGGCTGGCCATTATCACCAACGGCTGGTACCAAACAGCCAAAACCCGAAATGTTGATGCGAAAGAAGTTCCTTTCAGGCAATGGCCAGCTATTCTCATTAATTTCCAAGCTCCGGTGGCAAAAGATCATTTCTGAAGATTGTCTGTGTCTTTGCGTATATGCAGTACACTCGTGGCGATCAGTGAACACGTCGTGAATGGAAACGAAACTGTAGGCGAGCTTCTGCGTGTTGCTCACTCAACACCTCCTCCATTCAAACGAACCGTCCCACTCCTCAGTCAGTTTGGCTTCTAAAACTGGAAAGCAAAAGTAATGGGAAGTAACTTTTAGCTAGCGGAGCTTAGCCATCCCGGATAATGGCCTGCTAAACAGAGCTTCTGCCGCTGCCACATCGGTATTTCGGGTTTTGGCCACTCGGTGCCAGCCATTATCAGTTCAGCCCACAATTCGGGTTTTGGCACGCTCCAGAGTCAACATCACTGGAATAATCCATTTAAGAATGAAATCAAATTCTGTCTAGCTTACCTCAGTTAGTTCTTCTATAGTAGCTCCTCCTGACTTTTTAGCAACTTTCTCTTCTATTGAAGGTGGAGGTGCGGGCTTTAGGTTTGGCGGTAAAGGAACACCAGCCTTAGCACACATGGCAGCTGCATTAGCTTTGGCTATTTCAAGTAATTGAGCCTTATCTGTAAGAGGAAAAATATAAGTAGTTTTCCTAAAAGGCTATACGTTTTGTATTATCAAGTTTTATATGCTAATAAAATTGAAAGCATCAATTTTCTGCCCTACCTTACAGCTGCAATCAAATCACTTTGGCTCTGTTTTTAAGCAAATGCCTATTTAAAGAATTAAGTCCACTTTTAGCTTCCAATTCAAATACCACAGAAAATAGCTAAACTATACAACTATACTGATCATCTGACATACTCTAAAACACACACCTGCCAAAGCTTATTTTATTTTCCAAAATTATCATGCCCTTACTTTCCTTCTGACATTTTAAACCACTCTTTGTGCCTAAGTTCAAGTGTCACCTCTTATAACAAGTCATAAGTCAGAATTTAATATCCTTCTCCATTGTGCTCCCAAAGCATCTACCTATACCAGTATTTACAACAATCATCACACTCTGCTCATTTTGGTAGTTTTACTCTTTGGTTAAAGAGACACATATGCATTTTATCCATGTCTCCTCTACTAACTTGTAATCACTTCAGGCATTACATACTGTTCCTCTCCTTTGAATAAAAAAAGAACTCAAAAACGTTTCGTTAAACTGAATGCATTCTCCCTTATTGTTCTGCTAGGATCTTTTTCTTTAGACACCACTGATGAGGCAATGTCCAACCTGGGATAACCATAAATTATCCATTATTTCCGCAGGTAGTCATGCATTATCCATCAAGTTTTATCACCTCTGTGAGCTTCTTAAAATCAGGGGCATTAGAGTACTTTTAAAGTAAGGCAGACTATTAAAATCACTCTAATAAATTTCACTTCATTTCACTAGTATCACCTACCCAGGTAAATACTCCCTATAAGCAAAATTCCCTACTCACTTCCATTACCCATTATACCAATTAGAATTACCTTCACAAACATTTAACAATGCTGTATTGCCATTTTAAGACATGTAACACTAAAGAAACATTGTAACTTGAGGCTTATTTGCAAAGATTTGTGTTGGAATACATACAATAACAATCTGAGCATATATACTAGCCTTGTCTCTAGGCTTCTGCTTTCCACTTTTGGTTATGGAAGATGGTTCTGGCAAAATACAACTTTCAAGTATGGAAACACACTGGTTCTAATATAGTCCAAAGCAGGTTTTTTAAACTCTAATTACAAAAGTACTTATCCCATTTTCTACACACAAGCTAACCTAAAATATAAACAGAAACACTTATCATAACCAATAACCCAAAATATTCTATTTGATTCAAAGATCAGAAAAAGGTTTAAATAATTCTCTATTACACTACCATTAAATTTTTAAATAACTTACTCAAATCTGTTAGACGTTTAGGTGATCTGCCTCTTTCAGAAGACCGGGATCGTTTACGACGAAGGGGGGATCTGCTAAACCTTCTTCTCAAGGGTGTTCGTGATCGCCTTAATCTGACTGGTGATATACTAAAGCTTCGTCTTCTTACCACAGACCTCGATCTTCTCCGACGGCTCGGGGTACGGCTCCGTCGGCTCGGGGTACGGCTCCGTCGGCTGGGGGTGCGGCTCCTTCGGCTGGGGGTACGGCTCCTTCGGCTCGGGGTGCGGCTCCTTCGACTCGGGGTGCGGCTCCGTCGGCTCGGGGTGCGGCTCCGTCGGCTCGGGGAAATACTAAAGCTCCTTCTCCCCGCAGATCGAGATCTTCTTCGACGACTCGGAGTGTGACTCCGACTCCGCCGACTTGGGGTGCGACTTCGAGCTCTGACAGTTTTCCGGTTATCCCTGGAGCTTGATCTTTTTCTTTTTCTTTCCCTGGACTTGGACCTGTGCTTCGGAGATCTTTTGCGCTTCTCTTTTGATACAGATCGCCTTCCTCTAGACTTTGATCTTGACCTGCTGCTCCTCCTTCTGCGTCTTGAACGTGACCGTGAACGTGTTTGAGACCGATGAGACTTGGACTTAGACGATCTCTTCCTTGCCCTAGAACGAGATTCACTGGTACGCTTTCGTGATTTGTGTTCAGAAGATTTGGACCGCTTACTTCGAGATCTTAATGAAGAGTCTCTTTTCTTCTCTTTCTCACCTTTATCACGGTTCTTATTTTTCTTGCTTTTTTCATGTGTGTCTTTAACTTTTACAAAAATTTCATAATCATCTTTTTCTTCTGAAGAAGACTCTGAAGCTCTTTCTGGTATATTTACAACTGGACTGACAGCAGAGTTGTCACGTTCAACTTCACTCGCAAGTAAAGGTCCTTCAATACCAGCTCTGAGGCTTGTAAGACGTTCCATGTCCTTAGGAAGTAATGGTCTCACTAAATCTGCTTCATTAATATCATCAATACTGGCAGAAAATCCTGAACCAGACAATATCTCTTTAGTAGGGAGAGGTACTTCTTTATCTGCACTACTTTCTTTAGGGCTGAGAGCAACTGCTAATGTCTGGTCACTCTCTTTCATAGGTAATGGTCTTTCTGTATCATTACCAAGAAAGTTATTAGATGGTAAGTCAAGATGAATGTCTTTAGCAGGCAAAGGTCCCTCTATGTCAGCCTCACTACCACCACTGGGGCTCGTGGAAATCACCATGTCATGTTCGGTATCTTGAGTATTTAAAGATACTTCATCATATTTACTAATTGAACTGAGAGCAGATGCAGTGACAAATTCAATACCCTTACTAGTTCCCATTGTATCAGGTTCAAGAGCAAAGGGGCCAGTAGAAGATAGAGTTCCTCCTACATCAGCTTCACTAACACTAGGGCAAGTATCCAATACCAATACTGTGCATTGTTTAGTCTCACTGATGGGCAAAATTTTCTCTTCACCAATTTCACCAACAGTACCAGCACTGGCAGCAGACACTGTGCTGTGTTCCATCTCATTACCAATTAAATGATTATTTATATTAAGATCTATATTTATACGGTGTTCATTTTCATAAGAGTCATTCTTCAGGTGTCCTTCAGCATGTGGCTCTTCATCTAAATACACAGGAATCTCCTGCGTGCCAATCTCTGGAGCACGATTTTCATCACCAGAGTGTAAATGTATTCCTTTTAGAACACTAGGCTCCAGCATCACTGGGGTAGACTCTAAAACCATCTCAGTTGGTGTTACTTGAGTCTGCTCTGAGACGGTGACAACAGGCTCCGAAAATGTCATGGTAGATTCTTGGACAGAAACAGATGGTTCTGAAACAATCACATTAGGTTGAAGGACTGACACTGCTGGTTCCAGGACAGGCACAGCAGGTTGCAGGGCAGAAACTGGCACAGGAATGGTAACACACTCTGGCTCAACCAAGGCCCGGGGCTCTGGGACAGCCTCAGCCGGTGGCCCCGGGACAGCCATGGCCGGTGGCCCTTGGACAGACACAGCCAGGGGCTCCAGGACAGTCTCGGCCGGCGGCTCCAGGACAGCCTCAGCCGGGGACTCTGGGACAGCCACGACTTGGGGCTCCAGGACAGCCACAGCTGGTAGCTCTGAGACAGCCATGGCTGACAGCTCTACAGTGCTCTGTGATGGCTCTGGAATAGTTACTGCAGGCTCTATCACAGACATAGACACCTCTGAGGCAACATGTCCTGAAGCTCTCATGGAAGCAAAGGTTTCTGTTGCCTCGGACATAATAGAAGTCTCTGATGTTAACATAGTTGGTTCAGCTGACATGGGAGTTTCAGATACCATATAAGTCACAGGTTTTTCTGGAACAATTTCATGTTCTGCTACTGCAGCAGACTCTACAGGTGTGGACATCACCGAAGACTCTGGCTCTAGTGGTGGCTCTGGAACAGTCACAGCAGCCTCTGATGCTAACACTGAAGGCTCTGATGCTGACATTGAATAATCAGCAGGTACCACTGAAGGCTCTGAAATCTCACTTTGATTCGCAGGAGGTTCAGGCGGTGGTACAGACTCTTCAGGAGGTAATGGCACCTCAGTAGGCCAAGCATTTTCATCTGTTAGTGCTGACTGCTCGGTGGGTAATGCTGGACCCTCTGGTGGTTCCTCAGGAGGCAATGGTGGTGTCATTGGTGGCTCCTCAGGTGGCAATGGTGGCATTGTTGGAGGCTCTTCAGGAGGCAAAGGTGGCACCATATATGCCTCCGTGTATGTATCAGTGTAAGAATCAGTGTAAGAATCAGCTGCCATAGACATCATTGAACGATCAGCAGTGTAAGATGACATCATAGATCGGTCAGCTGCAGAGTACGATGACATCATAGACCGGTCAGCAGCAGAGTACGATGACATCATAGACCGGTCGGCACCCATGGACATCATAGATCGGTCAGCCATTGGGGACATCATGGAGCGCTCGTAAGCTGACATCATAGAGCGTTCATAAGCTGACATCATAGAACGCTCAGCCATAGGGGACATCATAGAGCGCTCATAGGCTGACATCATAGAGCGCTCATAGGCTGACATCATAGAACGCTCAGCCATAGGGGACATCATAGACCGCTCGTAAGACATCATAGAGCGTTCATAAGATGACATCATGGAACGTTCTGCAGCATAGGACATCATCATAGACCGTCTAGATGCTAACATCAGGGGTCTAGGTGCTAATCTATATGGTCTGGGAGCTATCCTATAGGACCTGGGTGCTATCCTATAAGGTCTAGGTGACATCCTATAGGGATCAGGAGTTAGTCTGTAAGGATCATGGCCTAATCTATAGGGGTCTTGCCCTAACCTGTAGGCATCATGACCTAGCCTATAAGGGTCATGACCTAACCTATAGGGATCCTGAGCTAACCTATAAGGATCCTGAGCTAACCTGTAGGGATCTGGAGATTTTGAACCCAACATAGAAGAATCTTGGGTACTAGATGCTAACATCTGGGCATCCATGGTGCCAGACGCTAACATCTGGGCATCCATGGTGCCTGAAGCTAACATTTGAGAGTCCATAGTGCCAGATGCTAACATCTGGGAATCCATAGAGCTAGTTGCTAACATCTGGGAGTCCATGGTGCTGGTTGCTAACATCTGGGAGTCCATGGAGCTGGTGGCTAACATCTG